CCTCTTTAAAAATCAGACTCTTTGAGGATCCAAATGTTAAGCCCCTAATTTCTTATATATCCTGGACTAGAGCTGGACCAGGAGCTATAAGTAAATATTTTCCCAAATAATCAAAGAGTCCATACAGATTTGCTGAGGAATTTAATATAGTCATTCAAAGTTAACCTGGTTTCTCTGACATATCAGAGCTAGTTCATATATTTCAGTGAAGATCAGGTCCAGCACTGAATGAAGGCTGTCAATTGGGATAATCTTGAAAAGTCTCTAGAGCTATGTTTAGACACAGATAGGCTTAATGACATCTTAAACCTCCCCAAACCCAAAACTAAATGTCAGTTGTAAAGTTTTTTCAGACCAGCAGCTAGTGCTGAAATTAGATTCCAGACTTCTCTTATGGCCTAATCCCTATATGGTTTACTTAAAAAACTGACTTTATATTTGGGAAGATCAGGATGACTTAGCCTTTAAGGACTTAAAAGAAAGCTAAAGAAATCTCTCTGCCCTTGGAAATCTCAATAATGAACTTCCCATTTTCCTTTTTCTATATGAAAAAGGAAATGTCCTTGGAGTACTCATCTAAACACTTGGGAACTGTCATCACTTCCATAGCACATTCTAGCCAACAGCTAGACCCTGTGCTACAAGGATACCTCCCTTGCCTCAGAACCATTCTTTCCACTGTCCTTTTGTCCCATGAGTAGTCATGGAATCTCTCTTAACAACCTTTGTTCCCCATACTGAAGCCCTACTGAATTCTTATCATACTCAACCTCTTTTAGATAGTCACCTAACCTCCTATGAAATCCTTCTGCTAACTGTCCTTCGTATAACTCTTTCTCACTGTGATAATCTTAACCCTGCCACACTTCTTCCTTCCTTTATGGATGACACACCTCCTGCCTGTTGACTTTGACAGTTCACCTTTTGACTGACTCCCCATGATGACTTATAAGAAACTCACTTGGATAATACTGACTTCACATGGCTTATTAATGGTTCTTATTTAAGGGGTGAAAGTGGTAAATACTGTGCCAGGTATGCTATTGTAACTCCTTATGACATTTTTGAAGTTTCACCTTTGCCTTTGGCTACCTCAGTCCAACATGCTGTTATGTGCTCTTACTCAGCTTATACTCTAAGGACAAAATCACATTTATACTGATAGTAAGACTTTGAAGTAGCTCATGACTTGAGAATGATATGTAAATATCAAGGCTTTTTACTTCCAGTCAGGGGAAAAAAAACTAAAAATGGTTCTTACGTCCAAAATTTATTAGATGTCATACTCTTACCAGCCATTTTGGCTATTTTTGAGGCTCCTCAGCATTCCATTTAGCTTGACTCCCTAAAGATTGAAGATAGCAAAACTTACTGATATTTTTGCCAAGAATGATGCTTTGAAAGAAACCAAGACCAAATTTCTGTCATGGTCCAAAGGGATGTTTCCCCAAATGACAATCTAGAAAAACTGACTAGAGATGCCCAACAATTGGTCACAGAAGATGAAAAACATTAAAAATCTAATAATTGTCAGTATGATCAAAAGAGAGAACTCTGGTTTGGGCCAAATAACAATCCTGTACTGCCAGAGATTTTGAAATTCCCATTAATGATCACTGTATATGCATCAAATCACTGGCCTATTCATAAAATAAGCTTTATTAATCATTACTGGTGAGGAAATATCAATAGGACCACAAAAAGTATCTACTTTGCTCTATCTGCCTAAAATAAAATTCAGTAAAACTTGTCGGTGCTCTTCCAAATAACTTTAAACTGCCCAGTGGAACATTCGAGTTTTGAGAAATGGATTCCATACAGATATCCCCATCTCATACATATAAACATGTTTTGGTGATGGTTTGCATGTTTCTTCATTGGACTGGAGCTTTCCCTTGTAGGCTAGGTGCTGTTTCTTCTGTGGCCAAAACTCTATTAGAAAAAATTATCCCTACCTGGGGAAATGCCTTTAAACCTCATAGTGACTGGGAAACTCATTTCACTAGTCATGTGCTTTGACATATATGTGTTGTTTGTTGATTCTACAACACTTTCATTATGCTTAGCACTGTCAGTTCTCAGGGCTGGTCAAATTCATTAACAATATCATTAAGATTCAATTGGTGGGAATGCAAACTGGTGCAGTCACTCTGGAAAATAGCATGGAGTTTCCTCAATTAAAAATAGAGCTACCATATGACCCAGCAATTGCACTACAAGATATTCATCCAAAGGATACAAAGATGCTGATTCAAAGGGACACACACACCTCAATGTTTATAGCAGTACAGTCAACAATGGCCCAAATATGAAAAAAAGCCCAAATGTCCATTTTCTGATGAATATACAAGGAAGATGTGGTATATACATACAATGGAATATTACTCAGAGATAAGAGGACTGAAATCTTGCCATTTGCAACAGTGTGGATGGAACTAGAGTGAATTATACTAAGAGAAATAATTCAGTCAGGGAAAGACAACTATCATGATTTCAGTCATGTGGAATATAAGAAACAAAACAGATGAAGATAGGAAAAAGGAAGGAAAAATAATATAAAAACAGAGTGAGAAAAACCGTAAGAGACTCTTAAAGACAGAGCAAACTGAGGGTTGCTGGGATGGGCTAAATGGGTGATGAGCACTAAGAAGGACACTTGGGACGGGCACCAGATGTTATATGTGAGTGATGAATTACTAAGGTCTGAAACCAATACTACACTGTGTGTCAACTAACTTGAATTTAGATAAATAAATTTAAAGTAAAAAGAAAAAAAAAGATTCAATTGTCAAAATTTGTAGAATTTCTTGTACAATATCTTCAAATATTTTGTCCCAAACCACTGCCCCTTTTAAGATGCATAAAGTCTCAGTCTTTGAACGAATTACTGGATGCCTGATGCATCTAGCCGCTGCTTCATTTGATTCACAGCTGGTAAAAGGAGATAAACTTCAAATTACAAAGGTCTAATAATGTATATTAAAAATCACCATGCGTTAGTAGAGTAATCTTTCCACAGTCTGCTCTTGAGAGATGAAGACCTTAAGCCTCATTCCTTGCAACCCAGAGATACCAACTACTGGGAAAGATCTCCCAAAAGGATTTTCTTCAACCTCACTGAAAAGGCCCCTATCAGATAGCCAATGCTTGTGCTGCCCAAATCTACAGACTAGACTCGGATTTCATGTATTTCATCTAAAGAAAGCACCAAACCCTGACTGGACCTGCATACCAGCTTGTGGCCTGAAAGTAAAGATTTCCAGGAGTTGAAGCAGACAAGAGCTGGAAGAGTATGCCTTTTTCTTGCTGTTATTTCTTAACTTATTTTCTCCCTCTTTTTCATGGAAAGACAATGCTCTTAACAACATTTTGCAATTTATTGCACACAGAGGAAACCTTTCTGACTGCTGGGCCTGTCACCAGAAACTGATCTGTTCACAGTGTTGAAGTTGAAGACCTCTTGGTTCTACTTGTAACCAATTCTTCTTAATCCCAAATGCCACTGTTGATTACACCTGTAAGTTTATGGATGTTGCCTACTGTGTTAGGATATTATGGCCAGATGTCCTCCTACCTTGTTTTAACCTTTCCCCAATCATAACCATACCAACTCAGCTAAGTATTTCCAACTCTGCTAATCATACAATTTTTACTCCCTTATGATTCTTCTATAAGTGTGATTGATCTCTTTGCACTCAAGGAAAATACAAATGGGTTAACTCCTCTCTGTAAGACTTTTAGACAAGGTCTCTTTAGAATAAGATGGTCTCTCACAAAATGACTGATTCCTCGCTTGAAAGGATCATTTGGGAAATTCCAGCTTATCGATCTATCAATAATCACAACTTAGCTGGAGTCCTCTGCTCTCCATCTGGTTTAATTTTGTCTTCAGTACAAAGTATTTCCCATGGGTATATGAATACTAAAATGTTTGGTGAATTGGAAGTTAATGTTTATTGGGACATTTACTGTCCCTATTAACATCCATAACAAATTATAAGCTTCCCATCGATCCATACTATTAAACTTCCATGGCCACCTCAAATAGGAACTTTAGAGGTGTATATGCTTTTGGGTTTGCCTCCATAGAGAGAGACTTTCTCCCTTGGGTTGTTGTGAGTGCCAATATATGTATGATTAGAAACGTCTTCCAACATTAGGAAAGCTTGCTGATTCCACAGACAAGGCATTGCAACCCAACAACAATCACTTGACTCATTGACTACATTAGTTTTTACAATTGCTTAGCCCTTGGTTACCTATTTGTTGAGCAAGGAGGAATTTGTGCAATAGTCAATACCACCTCTTACACATGGATGATTCCTCTAGGGAAGTAGAAACCTAATTACATAAGATTAGGGAATGAGCACACTGGCTACAACAAATTTCAACTAACAATCCATGGTTCTTTCATTACTTCAGGTGTGGGCTCTGGTTTAGAACTATTGTACAAGCTATAATTCTTATATTGCTTTTGACTCTGCTTTGCATAATTATTTTAAAGTACTGTAGCTCTTGCCTGCCAAATCTCTGCATAAGTGATGTGCCCAATAGGGTGATGCTAGCTCAGTGCTTCAAAATCTCCAATGCTTACAACTCTGATAAGATACAGACTTCAGGTGAGAAATGCCTGAGAATTATCCCTCCTACATTTCCAAAACTGAATGTGGCCTCCATGGTTTCCAATTTGTGTATTTTTCCTCTGACCTGGAACATGACAACCAGGAAAAGTCCTTCCTATCATCAAGAGATGAAACCACTAAATGCAGAAAACTTGACTTTAGCTCAGCGGTACTTTTGAGTAAAGACCTTGATCAAAAGGGGGAAATATGAAGGTGAATAAAAGAAGCCTCATTTAAAATGGAGTCTGGAAGCTCTGAAGAGGGAGGTCTCACATACTTCCACCTACTGTCATTTGCAGATCCCAATAGCAAGAAGTATATCCTGTATTTCCCAATGGGAAGAAGCTTAATTTTTGTTTTGTTTTGTTTTTTACCCAGTAACAACTCAGACAATGAGAACCACTACAATTCAGGACATGAGAAGTTGCCACAACCTGAACACTTGCTCTCCTCCAATTGACTTTCATTTGCAAGTATCTCCCAATTCCCTTTCCTCTCTAAAGCAAGCCCCTCTTCTTTGTTGTCTAGTCTTGCCTATGGTTCACTGTAGTTTGCATCTCTCAAATTGCTATTCATCTGCTATTCCCAAATAAATTCATTTTGCTGATAAACGAACAGGCTATTTTATCGTGAAGGTTACAGACACTTTGAGGGTTGTGGGATACAAGGTAAATATACAAAAATCAATATTGTTTTTATGTATTAATTTGAACAATTGGAAATTGAAATCAAACAACCAGCACTACTTATAACAACACAATACCTCAAATGATTAGGTATAGATATAACAAAATATGTTCAAGTTCTCAATATTGAAAACTGAAAAACAGTGAGAAAACAAAGCAGATAAAAATAAATGGAAAGATATACCCCATTTGTGGTTTGGAAGACTCAGTATTATTAATTTCCTAGTGGTTTTTATAGATGCAATGCAATCCAGATCAGAATCTCAGCATTAATATTGTAGATATTATTAAGCTAATTTAAAACTTTATGTGGAGAAATAGAACTATAATAGCCAAAAACAATTCTGAAGAAGCAAAATGCTGGAGAAGACCCAGTGCCAATTTCAATATTACTATAAATTTACAATAATTAAGACAGTATGGGATTGCTGAAAGATTAGAAATAGAAAACAATAGAAAATACAGAAATAGACCCATACAAACTTAGTTTTTGATAAAGAAGAGGCAATTTGGGGCACCTGGGTGACTCAGTCAGTTAAGCGTCCGACTTCAGCTCAGGTCATGATCTCGTGGTTCGTGGGTTTGAGCCCCACATCCGGCTCTGTGCTGACAGCCAGCTCAGAGCCTGGAGCCTGTTTCAGATTCTGTGTCTCCCTCTCTCTCTGACCCTCCTCTGCTCACCCTGTCTGTCTGTCTCTCTCTCTCTCTCTCTCTCTCTCGGAAATAAATAGAACATTTGTAAAAAATTTTTTAAAAAGACGATTCAATTTAGAAATAATATCTTTCAATAAGTGGTGCTAAAACAAATATCTTTATGTATAAACAAATGAAACATCTTCATAAAAATAACTGAAATTAACAGATCTAACTGTAAAATTTGTTGAAGTTTTTAATCTTAATTCCAGGATACTTAACATACAGTGTTATATTAGTTTCAGGTGTAAAATATATCAATAATTTTATACATTACTTAGTGCTCATCATAGTAAGTGTACTCTTTAAACCCCATCACCTATTTTCACTCAACCCTCCACCACTTCTCTGATAACCATCAGTTTGTTCTCTATAATTAAGATTTTGTTTCTGGGTTTATCTCTTTTTGTTATTCCTCTGTTCATTCATTTTGTCTTCTTATATTCCACATATGAATGAAATCATATGATATTTGTCTTTTTCTAACTGACTTATTGCACTTAACATTATACTCTCTAGCTCTATCAATGTTGTTGCAAATAGAAAGATTTTATTCTTTTTTATGGCTGAATAATATTCCATTATATATATATATAATTATGTATATGTATGTATATACATATATATGGCATCTTCTTTATATAAATATATGTATACTACACATATACATATATACTACATCTTCTTTATCCATTCATCTATCAGTGGACACTTGAGCTGCTTCCATAATTTGGCTATTGTAAATAATGCTGCTATAAACAAAGGGATACATGAGTATTCTTCACAAATACTCAGTAGTGTAATTCCTGGGTTTTAGGGTAGTTCTCTTTATAATTTTTTGGAAACTCCATACTGTCTTCCACAGTGGCTCCACCAGTTTTCATCCCCACCAAAAAAGCATGAGGTTTCCTTAATTTAAAACCATAAAACTTCTAGAAGAAACTGTAGGACAAATATGTATGACTTTGAGGTTGGCAATAAATTTTTAAATATGACATCAAAAACAATTGATAAAGTAAATAATAATTATTATAGATTGAATTTTTTCAGAATTAAAAAGTTATGATCTATGAAACACACTATTAGGAGAATAAAAAGACAAGCTACACACTGACAAGAATATTAAGGATTTGTCTCTCAAACATATGAGGACTAATCAATTTTAATAATAAAACAATAAAAAATGATGGAGATCTAAGCAGATACTTCAATAAATATATATGGATGGAAAAGAAATATAAAAAGATGCTCAGTATTTAGTCATTAGGCAAATTCAAATTAAAACTACAATGAGAAACCACCATGTGTCTGGTAAAATAAACAGACAGACAAAACTGTCAATACCAAACAGTACAGATGCAGAGCAACAGGACCTCTTTTTTCATTGCTAGTATCGATAGAAATGGTGGAGCCACTTTGTAAAACCTCTTACCAGTTTCTTACAAGTTAAAGATACATAGGATTCAGTAATAATACCTCTAGAGGTTTACCCAAGGGAATCAAATATGTGTGCTCTCACAAAAACTTGTATATAAATGTTTAAAGCACTTAATTTATAAACTCTCCAAACTAGAAACTGCCAAGATCTTCTTCAAAGGTGAATGGATAAACTGTGGCATGTCCATCGCATAGAATTATATTTATCAACAAAACAATTATGGATTTTAAACACACTTTGCTAACTGAAAAAGACTTAAAAGGATACATATTACATGATTCCACTGTTGTGATAATCTGGAAAGGGGGAAACCATTGACATAACAAATCAGTGGTTGCCAAATATTGGGAAAAATTGACTACAAAGAGGCTACACAGGAAACTTTTATAGTGATTAAAATAAGTTTCTATGTTAATATGATTTGAACATATGATGGTACCTTTATCAAAACCCACATACCTTCTACACCATATAGAGTGAGTTTTACTGTTAGGACAGCAGCCCCTGGAATGCTATGGGAATTCCAGGATGGATATGTACACTGTGACAAAATCTATCTTATTATCAATGGATGACATAACCAACTGAAAAGGTAAACAAAAAGGGAGTTGATGTTTTACTAGAAACTGCCTAGAGACCAAAATTACTGTACATATGCACATTATATCCTAATTAGCAAATATGTTTCTCACTAGGATACAGATTAAAATATCTAAAGCTATATATATATACTGAAGTTGAAAAACAATTAAATTATAGATAAGGAGAGTCAGGGTTCTGTCAGAGAAAGAAGTTACAAATAAACAAAGGGTAAAAAAACAGAATGAAGTTTGCAGTGCTGGAAGACAATCAGAGACATCAGCATAAATGCATGAACACAAATACCCACACATACACACAGACAGCCACACAAACACACACACACACATACATACATACAGGAAGCTAAGTGAAGAATGGAGGGAAACTGTACTATCTTTGCATTTCTTTTGTAAATCTAAAGTTAGTCTGAGGAAAAAAAAGATAAAAGAGAAACTGGTTGCAAATGACTTCAGCAAGAAAAAGATTCATACTCTCCACTATCTTTTTCCTTGGGAGAGTTTTTTAAATAAGTGCCTGTTTCTCTTTTGGTGTGCTCTTGAATCTTCAGGGTGCCGGCTCTACACTCTGGTCTCTAATAGAGTGTATATATTTGAGTGGCAGAGATATGTGTTAGAATGTCCTCTCTTAAAGTCTGTGTTCAAACTTTTTGGGTCCCTACAGTAGCCCTGCTGTGGCTATCATCCTTCTTGCCATAAGAACTCAAAGTCACTCAGACTGAGAAGAGGAACAGATACCATGTGTTCCTTGCTGTTGTCTTTATTGCTCTATCTCTCCTCCAAAAATGTCCATGCACTCAGCCCCTTCCACCTCCAGCCAATAGGGGAGGAGAAGCCTCCATTTGCTTAAACTGTACATAGGCACCAGAAGATGCCATAAAGTTCCATAACTATCCAGAATATCATATCTATTTGAATTTATCTAAAGCTCCTATACAAGAACAAGAACATGTAATTAGTCCATTACTTATCTTATTACAGGCATGTAACCAGTTCAATATTTTAAGTTAAAAAGAACATTGCAGCATCTTGTAGCCAATCAGAAAATTATAACATAAAGAAGATAAATTTTAAAAAATTATGTTGTATTTATGTTTGAGAGAGAGAGAGAGAGACAAAGTGCAAGTGGGGGAGGGGCAGAGAGTGGGAGACACAACATCTGAAGCAGGCTCCAGGCTCTAGGCTGTCAGCACAGAGCCTGACTCGGGGCTTGAACTCAGGAACCAGGAGATCATGACCTGAGACAAAGTCAAACACTCAACCAACTGAGCCACCCAGGTGCTCCTAAGAAGATAAAAATTTAAGAACAAAAGAAAGATATGTTAATTCATCTAGTGGTTTTTCACTTCTGTACGTTATCTTCTTCTTTTTTTTTTTTTTTTTATTTCTAGGAGAGAGAGAGAGACAGCATGAGCAGGGGAGGGTNGGAGAGAGAGAGAGACAGCATGAGCAGGGGAGGGTCAGAGAGAGAGAGGGAGACACAGACTCTGAAATAGGCTCCAGGCTCTGAGCTGGCAGGCAGCACAGAGCCCGACGCGGGGCTCGAAGCCACGAACCGTGCGAGATTATGACCTAAGCGAAAGTCGGACGCTTAACCGACTAAGCCACCCAGGCGCCCCTCACTTCTGTATGTTATCTTCAGGTAGAATAGATAGAAGCAAAGCTATATAGAATAAACCATTACTATGCAAACATCAAAGAATTCCAGGAGATAAAACAGTCTTTAGTAGCATGAACAGATGAAGACTGAAGAGAAGTTTGGGAATTTAATGTTGATTTCTCAGAGCAGAATAGAAACCCAAGGCTAAGACTGGGCACATCTGGAGAGGTAGGTTTTCAGTCAGCAGGGTTTCAAGAAAAATCTTAGAGGATTAGTTAGAGAGGACAGAGATATCAAGGAACTAGTTTTGAAGGAATTGTGACAATATTACAAAGCCTCCTTTGTGAACACCCATGCATTTTGCAATTACAGAGGTCCCCTTGGGGCTGGGCGGACTGTAAAACTGAGTGTGAAACATTGTTCTAAGCTT